CGTGGGCGCGTCCCCAGCCGCAGGACGGTCTGGAGGAGAGCCCGGGCTCCTGTTGGCCTCACCTTTGGAGGCGCTGGCACCCGGCTGTACTGGGCAGACCGTGGTGAGTGTGGGGCTGACCTGGGGCACCTTGGCTGCAGGACATGCATGGCCTGGCTCGCCCCCGCAGGGCAGCCCAGAGCCCTCTAACGTCCATCTCCTGCAGAGAGAGGAACCATCAACAGCATGGAGCTGGACGGCTCCCACTTCCAGGTGGTGCGGGAAGGGCTGCATGGTCTCTTGCTCTTTGCCATTGGAGATGGCTTTCTGCTCTGGACCACAGCTTCAACCAACGGTGAGCCTGTCTGCTGGGTGCTGTGCTTAGTGCACCCCCGTCCTGCTCTCCCAGAGCATGGGGTGGGGTCTCTGCTGGTCCCTGTGGGGTACAGGCTGTCCCCTAGGGTAAAAGGCAGGTGGTGGGACCCTGATCTCCCATACCGGGCACCCTCATGGGAGAAGATGGGAGGAAGTGCTGACCCTGGCATGTCTCCAGGCTCCAGCAAGGTGTGGCACAGCCGGCTGGAGCGGGCCGAGAGTTGGTGGTTCACGATGGAGCAGGAGCTGCTGGCCATGAGGATTTACAGCCAGTTCTCGCAGGAAGGTGGGTCTGCAGCTGCGTCAGTATGGCGCGGTCTGGGCCACCGAGTCCTTCCCTGTAGAGGCCCTGCAAACCTGCGCTGTCCCAGCAGGCACCAACGGCTGTGCGGAGCGCAATGGGGGCTGCGCCCAGCTCTGCCTGCCCAACCCCACGGGGCGGCTGTGCCGCTGCTCAGCTGGCTACCGCCTGGTGCACGAGGCAGAGTGCGTGCCAACCCCACCATGCCTGGCCCCGCTCCAAGCCTGCCACGACCTCCAGAGTTGCTTCTCCAGAGAGCAGGCCTGTGATGGGCGCCCTGACTGTGCAGATGGCTCCGATGAGCTGGACTGTGAGTGCCTGCCCAAGATGGGGGCATGCAGGGTCCTGGCTGGGCACTGAGGGGCTTGCCTAGTTTGGCCCAGTTTGGAAAGGTGGTCCCACCTGGGGATCCGCTGAGCTGTGCACATCCCTCCAGGCCCCTCTGCAGAGGTGAAGACACGGCTCCCCACGGCAGCACCCTTCGGGACGCCCCGTGTGGAGGGAGGGGAGAAACCGACCTTACCCACAGCTGCACCCAGTCCTCAGCAGCCCGGCCCCAGCCCACCTGCAGCACCCAGCCCCCGGGAGCATGGGGAGCCTTTCCTGGTACCCCCGAGCACCGAGGAGGTGCTGGGGGCTGTGCCGTGTAGCAGTGAGACGTGTAACCTGCGGGGGGAATGTGCCATCGAGGCTGGGCGGGTGACGTGCCACTGCGCCTTGGGCTACCGCGGTGACTACTGTGAGGAGGCGGAGGTGCAGCCCATGGCGGGTCCCATCGCCCTGGGGGTGGCCGTGCTCCTGCTGGTCACCGCAGCCTCCGTCGGGGCCCTGGCCTACATGCGGAGGAGGGACAGCAGGAGGAGGTGAGCTCTGAGGCTGGCCTGCCTAGGGCTGGGATAGGGAGAGGGACTGGGCCCCTCTGGCCTGGGACAAAGTGGTAACTGGGTTGTGTGGAAACTTCTGGTCACCCCAGCAGACTAATGCCAGGGGCTGTGGCAGGACCTTGGGGTCTAGCCCATCTCCACGAGATGGCTCTGCCACCCTCAGCATACTCGTTTCTCCCCAGGACCTCTAGCACTGCCTCCACCCGAGCACTGACCCTGTACCACCGTGAGAGCGACCCCGAGGAAGAAGATGAGGAGGACGAAGAGCTTCCCCCCAAGAGTGATACCTTTGTGAATGAAGCTTATGATGGGAAAGAGGTGAGCAGCACCTGGAGATGGCGCTGGTGGGGACTCTTCTGCCTCCCTGGAGGCCCTGAGGGCCCCCTGCATTGGGCAGCGCTGGCATGATGATGCCCACTCTGAAGCTGGCTCTGCCCTTGTGGCAGGGGGGACCTGGGGATGCCGGGATCCTGGCTGGGACAGGGCTGTGCCGGGGACCCCATGGTCACAGCCCAGGTGTGGTGTGGGCCCGGGAAGGCCAGCTCAGCCCTGTCCCTGATGCACCCCTCTGTGGTCTCTGCAGGAGCTGCCAGCCCCACTGGGGAAGGGACCATCTCGCCCCTGAGACTGTATCTCCATAAAGGAATGTTGTGCAGCATCTCTGGTGCCGTGGTGGTGTGTGTCCAGCCTGGGGAGAGCAGGAACATTGGGTTGACCTTCCCACACCTCCAAGCTCCAGAAAACTTACAGTCCAGAGCAAAAATGTTCTTTCAGGAAGTCTCCACTTCCAGCATCTTCCCCGAGCGGCCCAAATCTGGTCCCCTGCTGCAGGGCACATCCTATATCTTCCCTTAACGATGCTAAGAGTATCCATTCATGGTCCCCCTGCAGCAGGGCTTAGCTTACTGAGTAGGGTGCTCTGGGCTTTGCTAAGGGTAAAAATCTGGCCCAACGGCTCCCGCGGGGAAGCCAGCGAAGAACGTGATGAGTTGGTTGGGATCTGCCAACCAGAGCATGAGTTGTTCTGGTGGGGTGGGAGTCAATTTGTCAAGCCTACCCTCGTCTCTTGGTCAGGACTGACGGTCAGAGAGCTAGGAAGGGTCATCTCTCTGCCTGGAAGGATGCTGCTCTGGCCAACCTGGCAAGGTGATGGCAGCTAGGGCTGCGGCGTGTCCTCCAGCGTGGAAGGGACAGCGCTGGTTTAGCAGCGAAGGGAGTCACCCGCCCTCCCCCCCGCAGCCAGGATGACGGCACCCCTGAAGAGGCTTCCTTTTATCAGCCAAAACTCCTAGCAGCTGGCCACAACTCCAGCTCTGCTTTGCTGCTCTGTCCCAGGGAGGTGCTGTTTTCTTGGGAAAGGCTATGTTGAGTTGTCTGCCAGCCCTGGGGGTCCTGGGGAGCAGAGGGGGTCCTGGTGTCCATAACAGCAAAGCCTCCCCCAGGAAAACTCGATACAGGATGAGAGCCAGGTTGGCTCTGCTCTTGTCCTGTTACGCAGGGGTTTTATAGCACGGCTCTGCTCTCTGAGTGTCCCTTACAAACCAGTGAGACCAGTTTTACTGCCTCGCAGGGGGAAGTATATGTTATTTTCCTCTGTCTCTGAGATCTCTTGCTCCCTGAAATGGCTGTGCTTGAGGTAGGAGAAACCTCCTGAGCTGATTGTGACCATGGAGGGAAAAGTCCTTTAGGAAGGTGCTGCAAAAAACACCTGTCCCCTTGCAGACCTTTCCCTCCTGCTTCAGGTGAAGTGTGGGGAGCTGGGCTGGCCATGCCCACCAGCCCCCAGCCCAGCCCACCTGGCGGAAAGCCCATGGCCACCCCATGCAGCACAAACCCCTTCCTGTCCATTTATTTCGGTAGTCGCACAGCCCAGATTTGAGCGGAGAGGTGCGCGGGAGGTGCTCCTCTCCCCTCCCCTCCTCCCAGCCCTGAAAGCCATGCCGGCGCTGCCTTCGCCCAAGCTGCTGCGCGGTGCCGGGTGCTGAACCCAGAAGTGCGCGGAGGGAAGCAGCAGGCAGGCTGGAGCCAGCGCTGGTCCTCAACCCAGCCCAGCTTTGCTGCAGTCACAGTGTCTGGAGTGTAGCACGCTTGTGAGGAGGCTGCAACTGTGCAAGCTGGCTCCCTGGGCTGTTTCCAGTCTGCTCTGAGTTGCCCTTAGAAACTAGGCTACGGCCTAGAAAGGTAGGAGCCCACGCTGCTCTCGGTGCCCGGCGGGCAGACCAGCACCCGTTGCTGCCTGCCGCACCGGGGCTAAAAGTCGGAGTCGCAAGGCAAGGTGCTCCTCCAGCTCCGGCCGTCTCGCTCGTCCTGCAGCGTGTCCATGGGGTTGTGGTAGGCCCTGGTGGCGGCGGGGCTCCCGAGCGTTGGCGTGGGGCTGGGGGGGGACTTGAGGGCCCGGCGCTCCTGGCAGCAGCGGTGGAAGCTGAGGGCGAGGGCCAGCCCCCCCAGGATCCCCAACCAACCGCCCAGGTAGCTCAGAACCAAG